AAGAGTGTTCACACTGCAAAAGTGCATCAAAAAAAGCTATCTGCTTTTTCAGAAAAAAGAGCGTCCAGACTGCATGGATGCTCTCTCGCATGTAAGCTGTGATTGCTATGGACAGAATGGCCACCAGGGCACCTGTGCTTTTTCATCTTTCCTCTTCTTCCAACAGAACTCTCTTTTCCCCTTCCACACACACCTTTTTGCAAAAGAGGTCTTTCGCAAAAAGGCTTCTTCCTCATAGAATGAGGATTACCAATGCCGGAAAAAAACCTCTGTTCTTTTGATTTTTTTGTGGAAGAACACAATTGCAGTGTGGACGTTCCTCACGTTTTGTCAGAAAAATGACTTTTTTCCTACAAAACTCTGTAATGTAGACATACCCTGTGAGGGCATTAGTCTGGGTATAATTTATATAGGTAGTGTAGATTGGACCAAAAGGTGTTTTGAACTGGGAAAGTGGTTCCTTATCAGGCAAATATTTACATTTTTATGTTGTTTTTAACAGTAAGCACAGATGGTAATGTGACAAGTTTACTTTACTAGAGATTTTGTTACTGTGCGCCATGGCAGCCTCCCTTGAAAATTAAAAAAATATATATCTGGAAAGTTATTGTCTTCTTTGGCTCCTTGCCTAGGAGAATCACCTGTACCTAGACAACATTTTTTTCTCCCATGCCTGCAATGCTCCCCCATTCCTGTATACCAAGTGCCCCCTATCTTCATTCAAATCTTTCCTGAAACCCCACTTCTTCCACAAGTTTACAATTTTAATCCACTGCCTGAAAAGCAGCCTGTGTGCTACCAGGCTAAGAGGTTTCCAATCTATTGTGTCTGAGCTTCACGTTCCTTTCAGACTGCCAGCCCCTTGCTGCAAGGATATGCAGCACCTGTCTGCATACATAAAACAAACAAACAAAAACATTCTGCATAAGAAAACAGCTACAGAATTAGGTTCAACATTATCAGTGTTAGAAACAAGACCCTGAGCCATACATTACTTTAATGATAGAAAAGCTGTGGCCAAGAATGTCAATACAATGGAGGAACACGGGGTCATTACCAGACACGTTATATAATGGGAGACTCAAGCTTCTCATTTATGGTCTTCTCAATCGCTGTCCTCAGTGTAATTTTTGGCCTATAATTCACTTACCTGATCATCATTTTATTTTATTCAAAAATAAATAGTCTGCCATCCTATTTAAATAAGCAGACCTATCACCCTGCTGCACAAAAGTACAGCTTAGGGAAGCAGCCCTGTCCCACATGGTTTGAATGGGATCATAAAAGAGATCAGAAGATGATGCAAGGCCAGGAAAATAAGGCCACAAGGAAAATAAACCTGCCTTCAGAATGTGCAGGTCATCATTTGTTCCTCTATTCTTTGTAGCTTAACACCAAGTTTGTCACCTCCTGTGTTCTCGGAGGCAAATGGCAAGAACACCTTATTGATGCCAGTGGGAGCAGGATATGATCTTTTAGATGTCAGAGCTGGAAAAAACAATAAATGATGGTGTAGATACAGAGCGAAAAGTGCACAAGAGTCAGAGCCAGGGAGACACACCACAATTAAATGGTTTTGCTGCAAGTCATTATTATAAAAACTTATTTATATAGTACCTTTCATCCATACCAATCCTGACCAGACAGCATACAGAGGGATCGCTTCACCCACCATTTGCCAGCCACCTCTCATCTGCAAGCAATCCACCTGACACCTGCACACTTCATTAAAATTTATTAAGAAAGCGAAGAATTACTTATACAAATGAAGTTCTCTTTTTTTCCCCCATCCCCCACTTCGCAAAAAGTGCTACAGAAACTTTCTTGAAAATAAAGTATCAAAAACTTTCATTTACATCTCAACAGCACAGTTGTTTCTAGTATTAGGCTGGGACTTTGATTCATAAATGAAATACAGAAAGCATTACTTAAGCCCTGATCCTACAAACTCTTGAGTACTTGCAGAATTTATTCTTGTTAGCAGTGAAATCAACAGGCCTACAAATTGCCAGCCAAAGCATTGAACTCACAGTAGAAAAAAAGTCAGATTAATTTTAAAAATAGCACGGTTTAAAAATAATCTTTTACTTTGCCTTCAGTTTGAGCTCTCTCTCTCCACAACTATGAGAGCAAAAGTACTGTATCAGGTATAGCAAAAGGCCAAAGAAAACAATAGACGATCTGATAAGCTACAGTTTTAAGATTGGAATATCAGCTAA